AGACCAAACATAATGAAACTGAAATATTTTTCTCTCAAAAATGTTGTGCTCAGTAAATCCATAAATCTGAACAACTGTCCTACGAACTGTGTTGCGTGTTAGCGTAACTCGCGTGCACACGATCGAGACGGTGATGTTGTTTGAGTTGCATTTCATCGCTCAGGACAGAAGCGAGTGACAGCCATTTATACTAGGAAAATGCTTTTTTACTGTGTATTTGCTGGCAATTTTCATAGATGAGTGTGTCGTGAGCTCAATTGGTTGCATGTGGTTAGCCTACGTTTCAATTCCCAAGGGGAGATTCTTGAACTGAAGGGGAATTTTTTGTTTGTATTGGGTTTTTTTGTTTGTTTGCCCTTGTTGTTGTTTGTTTTGTTAAACCTGGGTTTTGTTTTGGGGATGGAAGAATTATTGGTTTTTGTTCTTGTTTTTTTGTGTTTGTTTGTTTTTCAGTTTTTCGGGAAGGGTGATTTTATGGCTTTCCATCCATGTTTGGACCTATTAAACATTGAAGTTAAATTCAGAGGACAAGCTTCTCGGAAAAGCCCCTTATCTTTTATCCATTTATATTTAAGTCTTTACTGACTGACCACCTCACAGTACTTACCGGACCCACATCAACTTCTGTGTGGCAGAAATATGTCATGATACATGTAATCTCTACATATTATATTAGTGAAAGTTCGTCACTTTGGTCGCCTAAAACTTCCGAACCACTTAACTTTCGAATTTGACAAAATGTTAAGGTGGTTCATAATAATTTAACGGGTGTACAGCTCTACTGAGGAGCCTGAAGTCACTGTAGTTTAATTTTCAGTTTTTCATTAGTTTCGTTTAGATCTAATCTTGGGAAAGTCCGTCTTCTCTGACGCAATTGCAAGCAAGTAAGGTTTCCGTTCACTAGCCATCCGCACTAGTTCTACACCTTTGAAATTCTGGAGTGTACAACCACGAAAGCGGAATAGAGAATTAATCTACACATCTCTCAAGATTTATTGCTCCTTTCCAGTAGAGTGGAAATATAGTAGGCCAATGGCTTTCAGTTGATGTTAATTAATGCACAGATCATTCCTTTCATCGAAAGATAGTAACATAATATACCGGGGATTGTTTGTAATTGCGTGTGCTTGCATGTGTGTCAGAAAGTAAGTGTATGTATGTATTGGTATAATGATATATGTGTGAGTGAATGTGTGTGTTAGTGTGTGTCTGTGTGTTTGTGTGTGTGTGTGTTTGTGTGTGTGTGTGTGCGTGTGTGTGTGTGCGTGCGTACGTGCGTGTGTGTTATTTATTGGTGTGTTATGTGCTTACATTATGCTTGTGCACGTGTGTGTGTGCGTGTGCGTATGTGTTGTGTGTGGGCGTGTATATGTATGTTTGTGTGTCTCTGTGTGTATGTGTGTGTGAGTGTGTGTGTGTGTGTGTGTGTGTGTGTGTGTGTGTGTGTGTTTGTTGATGTGTTAATGCATATGTTTGAATGAGTATGAGTGAGTAAGAATTGTGCAGTGTGGGTGTACTCATGTGAACTCTTTTTGTCAGTTCGTTATTCTTACTTGAATGTACATCATTGCATAACCTTAGCAGGAGGAATTTTCAAAAAATAATTGTCTCCAAAGGACACCTAAAGCAACTCATCTTGACATAGCAGAGTGTTAAGGCTGTTAAACATACCGTACAAAAAGCCGTTCATAGAGTACATCAATGTTATGAATAAAAACCGTTTTTTTTGTTGTATCTATTTTCATTACACAGATTATTGCGTTTTACGACGCATGCTCTAGATAGTGTCTTTCCAGATCCCTCAGCTGTTCATCACAGGTTTTTACCTAATTGTCTTTTGCCAATTATGAACAGGGCAATTCGAAATTTTAACGACATTGATAAAAAGTATTACTCTAGCAACAGAAATTTGCGCTAATCTAGTACACCTGCAAAAAATATTGTTCCGTCTCTGTCTGTTTCTGTCTCTGTCTCTATCTGTCTGTCTGTTCCGTCTCAGACTCTCTATCCGTCTCTCTCGGTCTCTCTCTCTCTTTCTCTCTCTCTCTCTCTTCTCTCTCTCTTCTCTCTCTCTCTCCTTCTCTCTCTCTCTCTCTCTCTCTCTCTCTCTCTCTCTCTCTCTCTCTCTCTCTCTCTCTTACTCTTTTCTCTCCACGACTCTAATTAATTTGACCTCTACATGCAGGCTGATGATGTTATTCTTCGGAATAGGAAACGGCACTAATGAGCATCAGAATTTAGACTTGTACCGGTGTGACATTTTCTTTGCCTAGTCTCACTCCATCCTTTCATCTGTTTTCATAACTGGAATCGATCGGCTCATCATCCAAAATGACAAAGCAGCGTCTAAAAAGGCGCCAACTTCGAAATTAAGCAAGACATGCAAATCCTAAGTCTTTTTAATTGCACATTATATTTCATTACTTCTATTCCTAATCCCCCCCCAAAAAAAAACACACCAAAAAAAACACAAACGCAAATCCTCTCCATGGTTGATAAAATTAATTATTAAACATTCACAACTGTGATTGCAAAGCATTGTTTCAGTTGCTACTCTTTACTTTCTGTCTCTCTCTCTCTCTCTATCCCTCTCTCTCTCTCTCATTCTCTCTCTCTCTCTTGCTTTCTCTCTCTCTCTCACTCTCTCTCTTGCTTTCTCTCTCTCTCACTCTCTCTCTCGCTCTCTCTCTCTCACTCTCTCTCTCTCTTTCACTCTCTCTCTCTCTCTTTCTCTCTCTTTTTCACTTTCTACCTTTTTCTCTTTGTATTCTCCCTCTCACAAACACACACACACACACACACAAACACACAGACACACACACACATACACTTACATACACACAGACATAAATAGACGCGCACGCATACGCAAGTCTATACAAAAGAGATAATGTCTTTAGAACAGCCTACGTTTTTAAAATTCCCACCTCCTCTGCGGTTCCCATTTCACAGCAGAGCTGTCGTAACTTCATTATTTCGAGCAGTAATACCGTCAGCATTGAAAGTTTTGAGGAAAAGAAACCACATTGCCAGAGGTTACCTTAAGTGCGCACTTACCGACCATTCTCACAGTAACCACACAGTTTCACTAAAGGCCAATAACCATTGTCGTAATTGCAACTGACTCAAGTAATAAACATAACCTTTACCAAAGGCTACATTTCGTTCTTTATGTTTTCTGAAGTGCACATACTTAACCCCAAAGTGCAGAAGATGTTTCTTCCTGGTTGCATGGAAGTAATTATTGTTGTTGCTATGTGTTTCATAGAAAAACATTTTTATTTCCCGTGGAATGTGTCTTAAATTAAATATTACCTAGCACAAAGCTTGTGTGCGTCTTGAAGGAATAATGGTACGTGTGTTTATGGGAATGGGGGTTGTTAAGCGAACAATTTACTCTATTGAGCAACGATGGAAGAAAGAACGGCATCTGATATCGTTCAAAGCCTACAGTTTTTTACAAGAACTTCTTCTTGGACAATAGTGACTCAAAAAAGCATCCCTAAAAAGCAGTTTCCGCCAATTGGCCACACATTTTGAGACAGCGAAGCGAGCTATTAATTTTAACTTTAGTTCAGCTGGGATTGGAGAAGAAATTACTCCAAAGATCCTAAAAGTTGTATCAACGATGTTCTCATTCTCCCACTTTGATGAAAAACGTGGTGTGCTTGTCCTGAGATTATAAATGTTTCTTGAGCATTCTATTCCCATTTTCATATTGTGTCTGCTTCTACCAAAATGCACATTGAAAACTAATGATAAGGTCTACTTGTTTGATTTGCTCGTTGTGAGTGGGATGGTTTCAATTTGCGGTACCTGTTATCAAAATGTACGTGTCAGTCATGTAAGGGAAGTGGGTGAAAGGGGCGAGATGCCCTCTAATGTTTGTATTTGATGAAGGGGGTGGGGTCGGGGTGATTAAAGGTTTTAGGCCAGCAGACTCTTATGAAGAGAAGCTCATAAACTAAAATAACACATGCATTGTGTTGAAATACCACGAACCTTTTTTAGCTCTCTTGAATATTCCATTCTTCAAGATGATCGGGTTTTGTTTATCTGTGAGAATAAAAACAACTTATTGAACTGATAAGAATACCCCGGGAAAGACCTATGCACAGCAGTGTGTTGTTTCATAACGCTACAGTGTTTGTATATGTTTTGAATTTTGACAACTTGACCAGCTGTTTAGTTGGGGTTTTTCTAAGAGGAGGGGGTTGTTCTTGTTGTTTTGATATTTTCTAAGTGTAGCTAAGTGTCCGACGATGTTCAAGGCAGGAAGGAGAAGTCGTTGTTGAATGCCTTGCCAGCACTGGCATGGAAAGATCAGACGATTAAAGAAGGGGATTACATACAAGCATACCGGTAGATTTTGTTTTAACTAACATAATATATTAGTATTAATGTATAATGTTTTATGCTCCACGTTCACTAAATGTGACATCATTTAGTAGGCAGGTTGCTTTGAACCTGTCTTACTGTCTATTAGGGCCCCCCAGGGTGAGAGGGATACTATATCAAGGCAGACATACGGAGACACTAGGAATGGAATTTCCCCTTTTGAGAATAGACATCACGGCTTTTGTGTGCGACGACCAACGCATTGTCACTTCAACCCGGACGCTAGTACTTAAAACTGATCTGCAATAGCTTTGTGCTCTAAGTGTACTCTTGGTTAATTGTGACTGCTGTTGGCTATGAAGAAAACGACTCTTGGCTATTCTGTAGAAATATACTACTCTGATGTTTAGCCATATAATTATCTCATATAATCATACCCTCGCCTGTTGTGGGCAAACTTCATTGTGAGTTCGATTTCTGAATGTGGAAAATTGTTTTTAAGCGACGCGTTTTGTCTGTCTGCTGGGATGTTGTGTCCCATTTAGCCTGGTTTGACCCTGGCAGGCTGATAGAAATAGCCTGCCTCCTAACTAATCAAATTGTGTCGGTGGGGGTGTAAAACCTTAAATCAACCATACAATTCTCTGGTGCTCGTCCCACAGATCTGGACTGACTACAACCTCCGCTGGGACCCGGCCAAGTACGGCGGCATCAAGGTGCTCCGCTTGCCTTACGACGAAGTCTGGAAGCCAGACATTCTTCTCCACAACAAGTAAGTTTAAAACGTTCACAAAGTGGGAGCAGGAGATTATGCGTTTGTCAGCTTTTGAAACATTTTATTAGTACATTCATTGTCTGTATGTGCGAGTGCGCTGTGTCGTCTTTTTACGCTTGTGCCCGTTTGTTTTGGGTTGCTTTTATGTTTTGTTTATTTTTTAGAAAGGAAGTAACAGTCTGTCTTGTTTTTGTTTTTGTATTTTAAAAGACACAAAGAGAAGCGGAAAGCAGTATAAGTGCATCTACAACAAAGAAATTGATCATATCTAAGGCACTCTCATTTTGTCTATGATGTGAATACTTGTCCATAGCTCATTACTTCCTGTTTATACAGAATGATTTCCTCATTACAATCTTGGAATTTAGACTAAACGAAAAGGTAAAAAGAAACGCTCTGGCTCGAAGTGAGTCATTCGGTTTCAGGAAAAGTCATTACCGGGTTTCACCGATTATAACTTCCGCTCACAAGTATGGAGTTTTAATGCAAAAACAAAGTTTCACAAATGAACCAACTAGGAACTAAGATTAGGATTTTACGACAAGAATGTTGGCATTTGAATTATCAACAGCGAACGTCGGTCACCCTGCTGTGTCACTACAGAGCAAATTACCAAAACAAACTCTGTTACTCATCGTTTTGTTCACGCTTCGTTATCCACGACGCCCGACTTTCTGTAAACAACAGAAGCGGGGAGCACTACTATACAGGGGGCCTACTACGGATGGGATCGGCGGATCGGGCCGATCGCCGGACTCGGTCGCCTCAAAAACAAACTTGTTTGTTTTCCGTTTCAGGCGACCGAGTCGGGCGATCGGCCCGATCCAGCCGTAATGGGCACCCCGTTTAAGGGGAACAACTTTAGTAAGAGAGCAGGTTACTTTTAAAAAAACTTTTTTGGTGTGTTTTTGGAGGGTTCTTTAATGTAGACGTTTTTCCGGCCCCATCGACACACTGTATTTCCTTTAGCAGGGCTTTTGACCCTACCTGTCATGGCCAACATGGCTGAGAGGGATACAATATTCCAGCTGAAAGGCAGAGATACTCAATATAAATTTTATCCCAATTCTCTGGAATCTAACCCGGGGCTTCTGCGTGCCTCAGTGAAGCCCGTAACGGCTACACAAGAGACACCGGGTTTTTATTTCGTGGAGTCGGACTCGCAACCGTTAGGTCGTGATTTCGAATCCCGTCAGGGGCCTGACGTTGTGTCCTTGGGAAAGGCACTTATCACAAATTTTCCTCACTTCACTCAGGTGGAAATGGGTACCCGGCTATAGACAGTGAACGATTTTGTCAGTTTGATAGTGTTTGAGCGTGTGAAATCCGCAGCTTGCACTGTATGCTTCCGCGGAAGCCGAGTATGTTTCTGAGTGTTCTCAGAGGGTTTGCATGGGAAATAATTGTTGTAAAGCGCACAGAGAATGTTCTTGAGCATAGATATGCGCTATATAAATGCAATTATTATTATTATTATTATAATTATTATTATTATTATTATTATTATTATTATTATTATTATTATTATTACTTTTAGGGGTACTTTTTCATTTTTTTTTTCGTTTTGTTTTATATATGTAGATTTAAAGCCAAGATAGACATAATATGAATAGGTCAATTTGAAGGTCCAACTTTAGATTTAAGACAAAGAAAGGAGGAAGAATCACCATGAACACAATACATCAAAGTATTTAAACATCAAATGTATCGATTGTGACGTACATGTTTACGTGTACAAATCCATTATTGGAGAGCATTCGCACCTCATGTTTGTGTAAAGGAAGGTTATCTATTGCTTATGCCCCCCCCCCTACTCCCGGCCCACACACACACCCGGTTTGTTCTTCGTTGGCTACTTTTTGGAACTTGAGAGGAGGGGAGGGGGGGGGATGGTACAGTGACCTTGCAAAACAAATAGAAATAGGAGGGGTCATATGTTTGGTTAGACGAAAATCTAGCAAGTAAATAAGAATGTGTGAAACAACAATGTTCTCTCAGCAGCTTTTTAGCAAATAGGAAACAACAGTTCTGAAAGCTCATTTTCAAACTGCTTATACGCTTATTTAATCATATAAAATCTATTGTTTCGATGATCATTGCAATATAGACATTTATAATGCTGTTTCTGTTACTGGATATGCGTATAGTGACTTGCAAGTTATGCTACATGTTGAAAGTCCTATTTTCATAATATGATTTATTATCTAACCCCTTTGTAATGTACGTTAAAGCTCGAAAGCTGTCAAATGTTTGAATAATTCTGAAGAAAAGTACGTCACCAGTAAATTCTGTATCGAAAAATGCTTGATACTAGCCTTCAGAAATTGCAATAATAGTTTCAAGTCGAGGAGAATATTTTTCCTGAAGAGGTTTTCCACATGACGAGATAACTGACTTGTTTGCTGTGCTGTGTGCCTCTTTAAAAATGCAGAAGATAGTGGGGTTTTTTTGCGGGTAAAATCCCACCGACCAAAATTATTCAACTCTTTTGAAACGAGAATGTCCTCTGGTGAAATCCCAACTCCAGCATACAGCCGTCTCAGACAGAGACACAGAGACACAGACAGAGACACTGAGAAGAAACTGACTAGAGAAAACATGTTTGCAGTATGAGGATAATTATTTTTTCCTTATTTTCCGTGTTATTCACCACACCTGTGACTTGTTCAATAAATCTAAAAACGGTTCAATTGAGGTGGTTGTCAAGAGTGTATCTGAAAAGAAGGAAACTGCTAGAGCGTCGCAATAGTCTCCGTAAACAGCTCGTGGAACACCCCACAGGCATATTGTAAAAAATCTTAGAGATAGGTATGTTTTTAGAAATTTAAACCTCAAATCCTTCTGCCTGGGCCCAGCATGATACCCTTAAGTCAGCGATTTTCATAAAGGAAACATAATATAAATCAGTCAGAAAAATTTTCTATTTTACAATACATGAAGATATTTTGCATAGGAAAGGGTTTAGCCGACTATTGTTTCAATTGGTAAAGAAATATGTTTTCTACTTTACTATAGCTGTTCTCAACTTATACCTTCAGTTCTTCAATAAAAGTTTCCTCTTATTCTTTATATTTCTTTTTCTCTTTCTGTCGGTGTATGCAAGAATGGAATACTTTTATATAATAGACTATGTATTTTATCTATGTTGCATTTTGTTCTTCTGTTTATTTACGGAAGTGTGCTTATCTGTTCATGCGTGTATGGCTGTGGTTGAATACTTGTGAACTTGTAAACTGGCTCACAGCTTTAAAACTAATTTATTTTCATCATTACTAGAACAACAATCGTTGACGGTAAGAATCAAGTTTAAACAACACTTCCCCCAAGATTGAAGACACCAGGAGGGTTTCTGAGTGAGAGAGTGAGTGAGTGATTGGGGAATTGTCCAACTAACAAAGTTATCTTTGTTTAGCGATTTTGGGTTGGAAGAGCGAGTGAAAACAAGAGGCAGAGAGAGACGGATCGAGTGAGCAAGCGGGAGACAGACAGACAGATAGACGGAGAGAGAGAGGAGAGAGAGAGAGAGAGAGAGAGAGAGAGAGAGAGAGAGAGAGAGAGAGAGAGAGAGAGAGAGAGAGAAGCAGGGAGAAAAATAGAAAGGAGAAGGAACGGGATATATGCGGACACAGACAAACGAAACAAGAACAATGGCATACAAAAATATTAGACGTTGTTCTTTAATTAGAAAACAATGGAGCCAAATCTATCTTAAAGGGTAAGAGGTATATAAATAAGCATCTAGATATTCTAGGCATTCTTTTTTCAATTCCTATGTGTGGTTGTAAATTTTGTTTGGCTCTGTCTGGGCAAAGTTGTCGATGTATACAGAGCTGCTTATAAATATGAAGATTGTTGTCGTAATTACAGGATGAGTTCAGTTTTTAATTCCTCCAACACGTTCCAAAATCGCATCAGACAATGAAGGGAAATGCTGGCGGCTGTGCTAGGCCACTCAATTATAATTATTCGGCGTGTAATTAGTTATTTTTTGTGGCTTAATCAGCTCTGTGGGTTGTTTTGGCCTGTTTTGTTTGACTTTAAAATTGAAATAAGATTCATGTATTCTGTGGTTGCTAAATCACAGATCCATCGCTTAGGTAAAATTATATTATTATTGTTATCTAGCTCTTCGAGTGTTAAACGACCATGAGACTTAGAACAGTTTATTTCTGAAGCCAACGTTTTTCCTCATTTTTTAACTTTACAGAACCAAAACCATCGAATGACAGGACTAGAAAAATAGTTGAACCCAGAGTGAAATCGAAGTTCATACTATACATTAGATCAAGTAGAAATCCAGGAATCCAGCAACACCTCCTTATCCTTTCTGTAAAAGTGTCCATACTAAAAAAAATGAACACGCTTTGGAGAAATGGCAAGGCTCTGAGAACTACAACAGGAATAAGACTGCTATGGGAGTAGCTAGAAATAAAGTGTAAAGCACTTAGAGCTTAATTGTGCAGTTGGCAAATTTGCTCCACGTATGCAATTACCTCTATTTTATCCTCAGTGCTGAAGTCTCCACATTCGTCTCGTCCACCTCGTCCAACCTTATCGTGACAAACGACGGAAATGTCACTTGGTTTTCTATGGTGATCTTCAAGAGTTCCTGTTCTATTAACGTCAGGTACTTCCCCTTTGATGCACAAAACTGCTCCATGCAGTTTGCCTCTTGGTCTTATGATGGATATCAGGTAAGAGATTATCAAGATCACATGTAATTCCTGTTCTTTCTATGCTGTAGCAATACACACGTTTGTGTGTTGTGGTTCTATATTCCAGAATGAAGAAGTTATCGACGCAAGACATTAGTACTGGGTTTAGCTGTATTTCTGATCGTTATTGGTTTTAGTTGATTATGGACGACTCCTTTTGATTATGCATCTATCATTGTGAATCCATCGCCTGCTACTTTGTTTGAGCTAGATAATGAACATGTCCTTTCAGCCTCCTGTAGTGCTAGAGAAGATGGTTAACATGGTTGTAGATTTCTCACCAAACCACGAACCTACCGACGTTGTTTGATTCTATTCCCGAGAGATCATCGTACGTTTCCACGAGTCCTAAATAGTCCTAAAAATTGTTAAGATTTCTGTTTTTTCACCTTTCATATTGAATAACTCATCCTAAAGACTCAAGCTACACAATACGACTCATTCTGTAGAAGTGGAGATAAAAGCCCCCCCCCCTCCCATCTTTTCCTGACAAAGTACTCATGACACACGTATACGATTATTTGTAGTTCATATCACAATCTCCTGTAGCCGTTTAAAAGTGTCATTGTATAGATTTAACGCATCTCTGTATGCTGTAAGATTATCAAAGAGGCTTGGCGTCCGAATGTTACATCCAACTCCTATATAGTACCGAGCTCAATGGATGAAGAGCTTTAAAAAAACGCCCCAGAACACCCCCTCGGGGATTCCAACCACAGCTCTGTTGTCAAGCATGATACCAATTGAGATAACTTGACGTTACCAATAACTGCCTTGGACAACCTATGCACACGTTTCTGTTTTGAGCCTGATAATCATACAATCTCACAATTCAGATAAAATATTCTAATAAAAACGTTTCACTCTCACATGCTGAACGGTCTTTCAAAATAGTATCTCTAGATCCTTTCTCAAAATGAACAGATTCACTTTTTAAGAATATTTTGATGGAAAAGGGATTTGGGACAGTTATTTCCTTTTACGAGGTCTTAGTTTTCTTTATATTTTTTCGAGTGGGGGGGTAGGGTAGGGATTGTGGGGTTTTGTGTAGAGACTGTTTTACCTATTTTTGGGTGACTGGGTTTTGTGTGTGTTTTGTGGTTTTTAGAGAGTAGCACGTTGTAGGGGTCTGTGCATGTATCCTTTCAATTAAACATAAAAGGTATTCTTAACCTGGAAGATTACGATGATAATACCGTGCCTGGTTTTCCCGGGGCAAGGAATATACTCAGCGGTGACAAGATGAAGCAAATCCGAACAATTGCGATCCTCCTCTCTATCCCCAGATAACTTTAACCCATTATGTAATGTTGCATAACCACTCTCTTGTAATGAAGGCGTACAGAGTTTCAATTCGTTTCATTTAATTTCTTTAAGGGAGGGGGCGTGTGTCATCAGTCTGCCTGTCTGTGCGTGCAAGGAAAGGGGAGGGGGCTGATTTTGTTTTGGTTTTGTTTTCTATAAGCTTATGTAACGAGAAAAACTGGGCCGGATTTGTGGAACATTTAATCCAAACAGTCTTCTACTGGGTGATACAACCATGCATTATTGAAAAAGCACGCCTTTATTATTAAAATTTGAATAGGCGGATACAACAACGGGCACAATCCTTTCCTGTTTCGATAAAAGAAGGACCAGGGGAGAAAAAGACACATTTGAGACAGGGGATCCGGAGATCTGGAGATTTATTGCTACTTGTCTCTTGGTTTCATGCAATCGTGATATTTTGCAGACATCGATTACCCATTTCTTCCTCTACATCTATAATGGTTTCTCAATATAATGTAGGTACAAAGATTTGTTTTTTCGTGACATATGTTGCCTAATGTTACTAATTACTAAATTATTCGTGTATATTAAACAACACATCACTTTTGAGGGGACATCTTGTGTCTCATTTATTTATTTTCATTCTTCGTAGTCATTTCTTGTCAAAATGTCGTGCAACCTGCCCATTATCAAATTTCTTTTGAAATTCTGACAAAACTTAAGAGCAAATTATAATCCTTTTGTTGAGACCTTCATAAAGCCGTGTGTACTTTCACTACGAGATAAAGTAGATCATATATATTATGCTGTCCTGTTTCCGGAAAAAAACCCAACAGTGCTACTGACTGAAGCCTCATTAGACTATTCCCCAAGCGGGATATTAACATGCTCTTATGCACAGTTCAATATTGTAAATGGACTGATTTATAAATGTTAGGCCCATGTTGTGCCGGAACAACATAGGTGGTGCCTTAATAGTCAAAGAAGACGTTGTGCTGATGAGGGTAGAGAGGTGAGAAGAGTAAGCCTAATTCCAAGTTTGGACTTCTCTGTTGACATTCACCCCCTTGGCACTCATTTGACCTTATGCAGTTGCCAGCACCGTAAAACCTTACTAAAACTAAAGCAACATTTCAAATACCTCCCAATTACAAACAAATAGTGTTCAAATTTAAAAGAAATATTATTCTAAAGCTTTCTATCAGTCATGATGTTACCTTTTGACCTTAAGATGGCTTAATCTCTCATTTGCTTAATATTTAGAACTATTTGTTCACGGCCGCTGTGTTCTTGAAACAACTGAACATTTGGCAAAAAATACCGATTGTGTTGAGCAGTACTTGCAAATTTAAACGATATCACCCACTAGTTGGCGTTTGGTAATTTTGGTGGGCGGTGGTGTCCACCCCCCCTCCCCCCCCCCCTCCTTTCCTGTAGTGACAGGTGCTACTTATTTAACGATTCGCTTGGAAATACTTGTTTGGTGCCCGTACGAAATTCTTAACCTCTTAAAGGTGGCAAAAGTGAGCGCTGCCTTAAAAAACGTTAGCAAGCACTGTTGTAGAGCGTTTCATTTGTCTTTCTTTAAAGACAAAAGCGTCTGAGATACTTTTAAAGCGACTACACAAATCAAATCGAACCGAGGGAGCCATGAATACTCCCTAAACATGCCGTTGGCGTTCTTCTTGGATTGATTCTCGGCCCACTACACAGCGAGGTGGCTACATTAATCACTACATTGCATCTTCCCTCTATGCTCCATCCAAAGTTCTATGAGTTTCTAATTAAGGTCTATAAATCTATAGAACAAAATTTGATTTACGTCATAGGCATTCCCTTCTCGGCGGATCATAAATACGGCCCCAGGATACGGCTGAGAAACATAGGCAGATTATGAGGATAATATTGATTTCTTATAACACTAAAGTTGCTGCTTAGAGCGAATGCACATAATATCATGTGCGTGCATGTATGCGTATGTGTATTTAGGTTTGTCTGTATGCATCTCTTTGTGTATGTGCGTCTAAGTATCTGTGTTTATATGTTTGCATGTGACTGTGAGTTGGACATACACGCAGACAGGCAGATAGACGGACAGTTGTGCTCGCAAGTAAACTCAATGAGACTGTATTTATGTCTCGTATATTTCTATCTTTGTGTTCGTGCACGGTAAGTGCAAGTGCCTTTATGCCTATGTGATTCATGTTTCATAGCAAAAATGTTATCCTAATTCATAACACTGTGTAAAGGTTCTTATTTTGAGAAAACACATAAGTTCAATCCGAGGCCAGTGTCTGAGGACAAGATGGAAAAATAGCTCTGTGAAAACGAGAGCTCAAAAAATGACAGCTAATCAGAACAAAAAGTGTCGATTTTTCTTCAATCTTTAGGACGAGCAGATATTTTCATTTTGTGCTCTATTATTTATGCCTACTAGATTCTAAGCCATTTCCATGGTTTGTGTATCCAAAATAATGAAATGATTATTCTCTTTCATTGTCCGAAATGAGGGAATCCTGACAGTGTACTGTCACAGTCAAAGGCCTTTTTCTTACACCGTCAGGAAGTCGTTCTCGAGATGGTCCGGGGGTTTGAAAAGTATCTTATAGACTGTAGCCACACAAAGTGGCTGAGACTACACCAAATCCTACGCATCTAGCCGCTCTTCATGAAATAATGTCCGTAGTAATGACGGGAAAAGTTTCATCTGTCCATTTGTGAATTAATAGAGCGTTGATATCTTAATAATGCGTAAGTTTCGGGAAATGGCAGGGTACAGTAGTTAAAAGCAAGCGTAACCAATGGAAAAGAGGAAAACAACAGTTGCTAACAGCAGCCTTGAACTCTTATCCCTCAGGGGAAACGAAAAACATCAAAGACGAAAGAAAAGACACGTGCAACCTTGGAATATTTAAAGAAAGATCGAGTAGATAGACTCTTCATTATTATACTATTAAATCGACTTCCATCCTACCATCTTTCTCACCTTTCAATATTATAGCATCACTTCAAAGAAACGTTTTGGCTAATTTCAAGCCAAGACTGGTTAGCAGTAGGGGAAGTGATTGTAAGGCATACTCATAAAAAAGCTACCGTTTCCGCGAAGCAATTCAATATCTCCCCAAGCGTAAACGTGAGACTCCTTATGGCTTTTAATTATCTTCTATTCTTCTTGATGGCTTCTCTGATTTTGAACGTTGGACGTGATTGTTTCGTGGTGTGGTGTGTGTATAAGTGTGTGTATGTGTGTGTGTGTGTGTGTGTGTGTGTTTTTGAATGTGTGTATGTATGTGTGAGTGTGTTTATGTGTGTGTCTGTGTGTGTGTGTGTGTGTGTGTGTGTGTGTGTGTGTGTGTGCGAGTGAGTGTGTGTGTAATGTCTGTCTAATTATTCATGTGTTTATGAACGTATTTTGTTGTATTTCTGATGTAGGTGAACTTAATAATGAACACGGAGAAGGGTGACACAAGCAACTATATCCACAACAGCGAGTGGGAACTTATATACCTACAAGTGGAGAGGACGGTGCGCATCTTCTCGTGCTGTGAGGAGCCCTATCCAGACATACACTTCCATATACTTATAAAGGTAAACTAGAAAAACACAACTTTATTCTACGAAGCATTTAGTGAGCGAATTGCCCATAAATGTAAGCATGCTATTTGTCATTTTTACCCATATGGTGATTTATAAAAAAAATCAAGTGAACAAAACCAAAGGAATAATATAATAGAGAGAGTAGAAACAGAAGGAAGAGGAGTAAGCGGAGGATGGAAGAAGACGGAGAGGGAGGAGGAGGAGGAGGAGGAGGAAGTCGTGGTGTGAACTAGTAAGGTCTTTCACCCTGTACTTTGCATACAGCGCAGCGCTTAGTTCTGTTCTCTGTCACTCCTGAAAGTGCCTTTGACTTTGAGGCGAAACATTGAGCTGTTTTACCATCTTTCATTTGCAGTTACTGACCAAAAAATACAGAACACTCTCTTCATATACAATGATGATGATAATGTTTCAATTCTTGATTTTTTCAACATAATATACAATTTGATTTTTAAAAAAAATAATCAGGCACATGCAGCGAGCACCAGAGACTAAGAAACTGCAACAATGTTCTATTAAAAGCTTTGGGATTAGTATATCTTAAAAACCCACCGACGATACATTTTTTCTGTGTCTTCTCTTATAGCGGCGGCCCTTGTTCTACATCTTTAATATGATCCTGCCGTGTATACTCATCACACTGGTGGCCCTCCTCGGCTTCTATATCCCGTCGGACTCTGGGGAGAAGGTGACCATGGGTATCACCACCCTACTCTCTATGACAGTCTTCATGATGCTTGTCACTGAGAACATGCCACCCACCTCGGATGTTCTGCCTCTGATAGGTGCGTACCGTAGAGGTTGTCAAACTAATCGTTTATATACAGATAATAAAATAAAAACGTTGATTATTTCCCTTCAGGATAACAATGGAACTAAAAACCACGACTATGGCCGCCTTAAAAAGCCCAGTTTCATATGTGTTATTTGTGGTTGTCTTCTGTTTCAGAAGTGTTAGATTATTCAATATAGACACAACCTCCGAGTTGTCAAAAATCTCCGACGGATCATTTCAGATGGGGGAAGGTTGATAAAGATAGATAGACTCGTAGATAGATAGATAGATAGATAGATAGGTAGACTCGTAGATAGATAGATAGATAGATAGATAGATAGATAGATAGATAGATAGATAGATAGATGGATGGATAGGTTGTAGATAGATAGGTAGGTAGAAAAGAGATAGACTGTGGTTGAGATACATAAACTTTATCCTGCCTTAACCTTCCCTACCCTACCCTACTTACTTATCTGCCTATATTTCTACCTTCAGATAAACAATCAGACATACAGGCAAGCATACAGTCCGATAAACAGATTATTAAATTAAGGTAAAAACGGTAAATCTCAAACATGAAACGGACTGGGACAGATAAGCAAATAAATGAGAGCAGAAATCGCTACTGGTCCTTCATATCACTCGTACATTTTCCTTTGGGGAGATAATTACCAATATCGATATCTTCCTTTCTGAGCTGGAGCCTGTAAGCAGATCACAGTACACGTTATGTCCGTCTTAAGCAATCTGATGATAATCAAATAGTCTGTATAGATTTGCACGTTCTCTCAGATTCAGAGGGAAGGATGTGCAAACTGCAACCGGAGATTTGTCCTAGATGTCCACATGTATTCTCTGTATACTTTGTGCACTGTGGGCCCTTCATAGTCCATCCTGACCCAGACTGTGTCTTGTCTAAGACGGATAAGCCTGAATACAAGCTCTTCATACACGTGCAAAAACAGATATGTGCTCTTTGGCAAACGAATACATGAATACACTCGCCTATTCATAACCATACACACTTCCGCCACCTATTCACCTCTCACCCCCCCGCCCACCCTCCGCCACTTATACCCACACCCAGATCCTACCCCAACGCCTGCACCCCCAAACACACAATACATAAAACATACGTGTACACTCTTTTATCTCTCTCTCTCTCTCTCTCTCTCTCTCTCTCTCTCTCTCTCTCTC